CACATGCAGAGTGCTTGTGTCAGGATCGAACCGTTACTAAGGCCGAGTTGGGGCAGATCCGAAGCAACATGACGCTTGGGATACTAGACAGTAGCTCCCCTTAAGGGGAACCTTAGCGCGAGCTAGGGGGCAAATGAAAGGGAAAAATATAAACGGGTCGGATCCAAGCCTTAGGCCAGCCCAATCCATTAAACCCAAGTCCAAGTGGGTCAGGTGAATGTGAGGGTAAGCTAATCAAGCCCAACTCCATGATTAATAGTCCACCCAAGTCCTCAAAACACTTAGGCCCAGCTCGTAGCGGAAAGGTCAATCCAGCCGTGACGCTAGGCTAGGCCGAGCTGCAAGACTCAATCTTTGGATTGAATTGTTGGGCCGAACTCATCACCCAAAACCAAAGTGGGCCAAGCCCACACCAAGATATCTAAATAGGCCAGCCCATCTCTATAAGCAGTCTCACAAAGGGTCGAGTCGAGGCATAACGGTACCGAGCTGAGGGAACCTCTCAAAAAAATGTGGAAGCTATGAATGCATGCATGTGCATACTGCCACCTCAGCTAGTCCCCTCCCCCTAGAATCATGGAAATGGTTGATCAGGGGAATGTGGTTTGTTATTAGCATGAATACAACAAGTATATGCATCTATTGTCATCTACCTCATAGTCCCCTACCTTGAGCAATGTTAAAGAGAGCATGGCAGCACCAAAGTCTCATGAAACCATCTAGGGCAACAAGTAAGGAGTTCTATATAAATTACAAGGACTTCACATTAAAGGTAACTAAGGCCTCGTTTGGGAACCATCCCATTTAGTCAAAAAATTACTAAAAAAGCCAAAAAGCGAACAACCCATACCAAAAAGTCAAAGATTCCATTTTCTCTCTACTTTTTGCACATCTTTTCGTAAAAATTCAAAAAGTCATCCCAAACATACTAATTTTTTTTACATCACATTTTAGCCAAAAAGTTACTAAAAAAGTCTGTTCCCAAACGAGACCTAAGTTGAGCTATAATATACTCACTTAAACACAACTCTCTACACTTAGAGAGCACATCCCATTTTCTTCGATTACTTACTCTCACACCAAAGAGGTTATCCGGCCAACTCCGGCTGGACAGCTCTAACGGTGCTCATTGTTGCAGGGACTCAGTTCTTGGATAGTCCAGTCAGATGCGGAGCTTCGGTCCACAATCATCTAGTGCGGTATTCAGTACACACATGTAGGTTGAGGAGTATCCAATCAAACGCCCAAGTAGGTCAAGAGCTTCTAAGTAAACTCTCCAATTTTCCCTCTACACCCCCATTATGTCTAATGTACAAGTGTTCTCCTCTAAATACAAGGTTTACCATGCATACGAGGGATCTAGGATTCTAACATAGCGGAAGTGAACGAATACACTAATAAAAATTTTAAAAATAAAATATAGACTAGAATATCAATTTTTATCAATATAAAATATGAAAAATATCATAAAAAATATACATCAACAAACTTGTTTTCTAATATTCATATTGAGTTATAAAAAATAACAATTGTAAAACAATTTATTAACACTAATTGTGAGAAACTAAATTTCTTTTTTTTATATTTTATTGAAATTGTTAAATTATATAATTTGAACTCCTTGTTTTATATAGATATGGAGGTGTGGATTGTACTACTATTAATTTTGTTAAAACATTGATATATAATTTGAAAATAATAATAATTAATACTAACATATAAAAATGGTTTTTGAAAATTTTTTGGTGGGTGGGTGGGGCGTTGGGGGGAACACCCCTTTAAGGTCCATCCTTATACAGCGCATATAATAAATGTAGACAAAAATTAAATTGATGTATTTAAAAGCTCCACTACTACTGGGCCAAGAGAAAGAACAAAATGAATGGAAGGACGGATGAACAAAAAAAAAATAAATAATAAATAAAGATAACTAGGACGTAAATCAAGAAAATACTATGTAAACATTTTTTTTATACAATATATATTTTTAATAACAAAATATTGTAATTTGAAATGGATTACTGAAATTAAATGATAAAAACAACACAATTGCTGAATCAGTTTGTAAGCAAAATTTATGAAAAAAAAATTAAAAAAATATTTTTAACATTTATTTATTCATTACAACAAAAAAGACTAATTGGCCAGGTCCAATGCAATTTATTTTTTATTTATTTATTTATTTTTTTTTAAAAAAAGGTCTATTTGTACGGAAATGGAATATGAAAAGTAGCACGAAACATAAGCCCTATTTGGTAGAGCTGTGGGAAAGTGCTTATAGCTTATGCCTAAACAGCTTATAGCTTATAACTTTCAGCTTAAGCTGATTTCCAGCTTATTCTTAAAGCATCTCCTGCCCCACTCAAAGAATAAGCTGATTTCTGATTTCCACAAAGCTATAAGCTATAAGCTAAACCAAACACATCAAAATAGCTTAAATTAAGCTGAAAGCTGAAATAAGCTGTAAATAATTTCTGCCAAACAGGCACATAGAGATAATAATATGTGTGAGTTCTACTTGAGAGTCTCACCTGTTGTCTCTCTTTTATAAAAAGAGCAATGCTCCTAAAACAAAAATCAAACATAAAATAAATTACAAAAATTCACATAAATGTGGAATTCACATTGTATATGTATATGTCCCACAATAATGTTAGTGTTTGTAAAAAAAAAAATTCCTATATTTGATTTTTATGTTCCTAACTTTTTGTTTATTAAAGAAAAAAAAAAGTGAGAAATGACGTAAAATTGGTGCAATTTTTTATGGGCCCATATCAAGAATCAATAGAAACCAAAGGAAAATGTTTGAGGGCCACAAAATCAGTGGCTTAAATGGTTCAAAACTGTCAAAACGACGTCGTTTTGTGCCCAAAACGACGTTGTTTTGACAATTTTGAACATTTAAACCACTAATTTTATGGTTCTCTAGCATTGCTGGAAACCAAATATGGGGATGCATAATGCTTTGTAACTTGAAACCCAACGGCCCGAATGGCCCGAATTCGAAGTTATATTCTCTCTCTCCTCTCCTTAGACTCTCAGACTCCAAACCAAACAAACCAAACCAAACCAAACCAAACCATTCCGCTGAAACCCAGGTCCCTCTCTACCCAAAGAAAAATGTCTCGTAGCTTAAATTTTGTGACTCAAAAGTGGCTCAAATGGCCAAAACGACGTCGTTTTGGCCATTTTTATGTTATTCTGTACTCAAAACGACGTCGTTTTAACCATTTGAGCCACTTTTGAGCTACGTAGCATTGTCGCTACCCAAAACTCCCAATCTGAAACCAAATTTCAATCACATGAAATTAGCATATAAATTTTCCAAAACACCCAATCTGCAACCAAATTTCAATGACATGAAATTAGTATATCTTCTTTGATTGATATTATGGAAATTTTAAACATGAAGATTGAAATTAGTTCATCTTCTTGATTGCAACAAAACATGAATTTCAGAACATGAAATTCATGTATATAAATTTTCCAAAACTCCCAATCTGAAACCAAATTTCAATCACATGAAATTAGCATATAAATTTTCCAAAACACCCAATCTGCAACCAAATTTCAATGACATAAAATTAGTATATAAATTTTCCAAAACACCCAATCTGAAACCCTAAATAAAAAACAAAACCAACTAAAAATCAATTCAATAGTTGCAATCACACCCACCAGCAGCAGCACCGACAGCACCCTTGCGCCACACACAGCAGCAACGGCACACACAGCAGCTGCGGCAGCGGACGCAACCTAGTCGTCGTTACCCAGTCGATGCTCCTCTCCTCTTACTGTTTAGAGGTTAGTCGGTCTCCTCTCACTCTTTAGAGCTTAGTTGTCGTCCCCGTCTCCTTTCTCTCTGCGCTCTGTTCTTTCTTTTATTTTCTTTTCTTTTTTTTCCCTCCAAATGAAAGGTGTGGCTGAGCTGAGCAGTACAGCGTTATACGGGATGTGGGTGTACCAAGAAATTAGAGGTGTACAAAAAAAAATCGAACCATTCGAGCCGTTAAAGTTTCGAACTAATAAGCGGTACTATGGGGATTGATTGATTTCGGCTAAAATTTGGACTTGAGCAACGGTGCTCACAATTATTCTTAAATAATATGAGGAATATACTCGTTTCGAACTAATAAGCGGTACTATGGGGATTGATTGATTTCGGCTAAAATTTGGGCTTGAGCAGCGGTGCTCACAATTATTCTTAAATAATATGAGGTATATACTCGTATGAGTATTTAATAAAATATTTAAAAATTTAGTATTTTTATTTGTTTTTTATCATTTTTTCTTATCAATTGATATGTTAATTTAATTATTAATATTTTATTAAAGATACATATTAATAGTAAGACAAATTACACCAATATTTCATTAACAAGTAAAATAATAAAGATAAGATAGTGCAAAAATATAATAAATGAAATATTATTGAGGTTTTTTTTTTATTTTTTAATTTTTGCAATGTTCTAATACTGTGTAAGTATCACAGCTAATACAAAATAGGCAGAACGAGGCAAAAGTCCACATCAATTCCTATATAAATGTAACAGCACATAACACAAGAAATAGGGTCAGGACAAACTACAAGTGACTCACACCCAGGCCGCTTATAGACGGCCACCACCACCTCCTACCACCAATCCCCTCAGCCGGCTCTCTCTCTCTCTCTCTCTCTCCCAAAAACACATCCTACATTTTCATACCTCTCTTCCTTTATATGCCCTCTCATTGGACCTATCCACCATCTATCTATCTCTCTCTCTCTCTCTCTCTCCTCTTCTTTTTTCTCTCTATCTCTCTAAATTTAACACGTAACACAAACACAAACACACACCCTCTTTAGTAGTTTTAATGGCAAAGATCTCGCAGCAAAACCGCAAGAACAGCTCAAACATTACTAGCACCAGCAACAACAAAAAGGATCCTGCAACGAAGGTGAAGCGAACGCGCAAGAGCGTCCCCCGCGACTCTCCCCCGCAGCGGAGCTCCGTTCTCTCTCTCTCTCTCTCTCTCTCTCTCTCTCTCTCTCTCTCCTCTTCTTTTTTCTCTCTATCTCTCTAAATTTAACACGTAACACAAACACAAACACACCCTCTTTAGTGAAGTTTTAATGGCAAAGATCTCGCAGCAAAACCGCAAGAACAGCTCAAACATTACTAGCACCAGCAACAACAAAAAGGATCCTGCAACGAAGGTGAAGCGAACGCGCAAGAGCGTCCCCCGCGACTCTCCCCCGCAGCGGAGCTCCGTTTATAGGGGTGTCACTAGGTACTACAATTTATTTATATAATTGTTTCATTAATAGTAACAGATGATATATTGATCAATATATCAGCTGGTACTATCCAATATCGGTGGATATATGCTGATAGCAATATCTATTCTGATATCTTTATTTAAAATTATGTTGTTGTTGATGATGGTCTCAGGCACCGGTGGACGGGCCGGTACGAAGCTCATTTGTGGGACAAGAACTGCTGGAATGAGTCCCAGAACAAGAAAGGAAGACAAGGTTCTTGATCATCTCCTTGAGTTTTAATTTGATTAATTTCCTTTAATTTTTTTTTTCATTTTTTAGAGAATTAATATTGATGATTTTTTTTTTTTGGTTTGACCATTTTGGATTTTTGAATTGATGATTGTGGTGGTGGATTCAAATGGAAATGCAGTGTATCTAGGTAAGTTTGGTAACCCATTACATTATCTGAGTTCTTATATTATCTTTCATTTTCAAATAACACTCTACCATGCTTTTCTCCATTATGATAATCATTGACCCTAGATTAAATTTGAATTATTGTCATATCATTTTAGAGTGTTTGCTTTAAAAATATATATATATATATATATATTGTTTACGTCGTTTCAGGTTTTAATTATGTCATTAACTGAAATTTTATTTTTTCATTCACGTATCTTGTTATGAAAAAAATTGCAAAATCATGGCAGAAAAATAATTATAGAGATTTGTTGGTAAGAGACGTTTCTCTCCTGTTCACAATGCAAGCCATGTAATATGAGATTGTGGGTCCATCACAAATCTAATCACGGTGATCTAGAGCTCCTATACGTAAATTATTCATAAAAAATAGTTTGCTTTAAATATATATATATATATATATATATATATTGTTTACGTCGTTTCAGGTTTTAATTATGTCATTAACTGAAATTTTATTTTTTCATTCATGTATCTTGTTATGAAAAAAATTACAAAATCATGGTAGAAAAATAATTATAGAGATTTTTTGGTAAGAGACGTTTCTCTCCGGTTCACAATGGAAGCCATGTAATATGAGATTGTGGGTCCATCACAAATCTAATCACGGTGATCTAGAGCTCCTTCCTATACGTAAATTATTCATAAAAAATAAAAATAATAATAAATTTGATTTGCCTAAAAAAATAATTGTAATTACATAATTTCATCATATTTTTTTTTTAAAAAAAGATAATTTATTTTTAAAATCATACTTATTATACACTTCTTCAAAAACATATGATAATATCATGCTGTTATGATTAAATCAATTTAATTTTATTTATAAATACGTTATTGACATAAACTCACAAAATAATCCACCCAGTTCACAGTGACTGATAAAAATCGTGAGGCCCTTCAAGTCCATATTGCACGAATGGAGAGAGTCCCATCCCTTACTAAATAATAGAAGTTCCTCTCTTTTTCTTTTTTTTCTTTTTTCTCATAACAAGTAAGGTATAACTTCTCTCTAGTTAGTGATCCGAGCTTGGTAGATCCACTTAGACTCGTTTCAGTAATTCAAATTGTTAATTTATGAGATTTGTAGAGTAAATCATTTTGTGCTAAAAATCAGTTTAATTAGAATTGATAATCACATAACCAAATCACATTTGTATTATAAAAATAAATGTCAAATATGAATTTAAGAATAGGCCATTTTTTTTTTAAGATAAATATAAATTCAATCATATAACTATCGATATTCAATCAATTTAATTTGTTGTATAGATAATAAGTTTGATAAATCTTATAAAATAACTATCCAAATCATGAATTATACTCGAGATGACCCACCAAATCCGTACAACACATATCAAGTTAAATCACCAACAAAACTTAACCCTGAAAAGTATATTCATGGTTTTGGTTAATGAAATATGGGAAACTTATGCAATTGGAAATGTTGATTTTTTTTTAAGAAAAAATGACAATTCAGTGTATCTTTTAAAAAAGAGAAAAAAAAATTTCACGAAAATGATCATGAAAGATTTATGATCTTTGGATTGCCTTGATTAGTGTGTGGTACTTTATTCTAAGTGTAATCTAAGGGTTACAAAGCTTTCATGATTATTTTTATGAAAGATTTTTCATAATACCTAGCATTGCTGTTTGAAAAATATATTCAAATTTTAGTGATAAATTTTACAAATATTAATAATTAAAGTAATAATTTTTTCATCAATCAATAAATATTTTATGAAAATAACACTGATGTGTAATTTTCTATTTTTCAAATAGGGGCCTATGATGATGAAGAAGCGGCAGCACATGCTTATGACTTGGCTGCATTGAAGTATTGGGGACAAGACACCATCCTCAATTTCCCTGTAATTAAATTTCTTCACCCCAAACTAATTTCAACATTACTTTTGTATTTTATTATTATTATTAGTTTCACAATTCAAATTATTTTTCTTCTATTAATTATTTCTGATTGATTTTTTAATTTTATTTCGAAATTATATAGCTGCCAACTTATGAAGAAGAGCTTAAAGAAATGGAGGGTCAATCAAGAGAAGAATATATTGGTTCTCTCAGAAGGTAAATTATATCCCCATATTAATTAGAAATATAAATTAATAAGAAAATAATATTTGTTACCAGATTAATTATTTTATTTTGAATCTTATTTGCAGAAAAAGTAGCGGGTTTTCACGAGGAGTTTCTAAATACAGAGGTGTAGCAAGGTATAAAACAATGATACGTTACATTTCTCATTTACCATGCTATTAAGATGTGTTAATTCTTGATAAAATAAATTTCTACTTGGTAAGTTATAATATTTTTCTTGATAAATAATAAATTTTGGTTATTCTGAATATTGTACACTATAAAAATAAGTCCACACAAGTATTTGGAGGGGGAAAAAATTAAATGAATCTTGAAATTGATCTTGAATATGTGATACCAAAAGTTCTTAAATTGTTAAACTAGTACTGTCATGTTCTTCACCATTACTATGGAGTATGGACCCATATGTGTCTGTTGTATGTATATTATTTTCCATTTTTGAGCGGTCGTAGCATTGAAATTTTTCTGCTATTGAATATGCAGACACCACCACAATGGTAGATGGGAGGCTCGAATTGGCAGGATGTTTGGCAACAAATATCTTTACCTTGGAACCTATGGTAATATTTATTTTTTATAATTATCGTGATAATTTGAAGCCAAAACATCTGATCTCTTTCTCTTAAATGGTTCAATTTTTTTTTAATGGGAAATGAGAAGAAAATATTCTTCTCCCTTATAAAAATAATGGAAGCATTAACAAAAAAACAAAGAATGAGACAATTTCAAATATCTATCATATAATTATACCCATCAACCTCACCAAAACACCCCTAGCTATCATATAATTATCTTTTAAACCCATCAAAAAAAAAAATCTTTGTTGATAATTTTATGCTTAGGCATACTTAAGGAACCTTGTTATGCCATGTGTCGATTATTGTTGCGGTTAGTCTAGCTTCTTTCTCTCTTTAGTTTAATTTTTTATTTTTTGGATTATTTGTTGGTCTAGCTCCCTTGTTGTGTCTCATGATACCAAATGAATGCAGTTATGTTAGTTGATAAGGGGACCTTTAAAAATGTTATCATATACAGTTACTAATTAATTAATTAGAGGCATATCAATCACGAATCAATATTATCTATATATGAAATAATAGAAAAAAGAAAATAAGTGAAGCAAGCAAATACAGTTGGTTGGTGTTATAGATCACCAAACCCTCAACTGCTAGGTCCGCTATTTAAGATTTCAAACCCTAAACTCATAAATTTTCAACCATCCACCAAATTTATCAAGCATATTAAATTGTTGAATTTAGGAAACTTCTATTTCCACATCACTTTCTCTCACTTCACACTCTGTTTTTAGTCAAATTCTGAACAAAATTACATGGTTTCAAAATCAATTTCCAAATGAGAATTTGTAGTTTGAAAGTTAAAAAGTTGATAACCAAATGAATGCAGTTATGTTAGTTGATAAGGGGACATTTAAAAATGTTATCATATACAGTTACTAATTAATTAATTAGAGGCATATCAATCACGAATCAATATTATCTATATATATGAAATAATAGAAAAAAGAAAATAAGTGAAGCAAGCAAATACAGTTGGTTGGTGTTATAGATCACCAAACCCTCAACTGCTAGGTCCGCTATTTAAGATTTCAGACCCTAAACTCATAAATTTTCAACCCTCCACCAAATTTATCAAGCATATTAAATTGTTGAATTTAGGAAACTTCTATTTTCACATCACTTTCTCTCACTTCACACTCTATTTTTAGTCAATTTCTGAACAAAATTGCATGGTTTCAAAATCAATTTCCAAATGAGAATTTGTAGTTAAAAAGTTAAAAAGTTGATATACAATTTATTTATTTATTTATTTTTTAAATATGTGAACTGAGAGAGTCCAAATTGCCCCTTATAAACATCTTCAATATTTTCTGCAGCTACCCAAGAAGAAGCTGCAACAGCATATGACATGGCAGCCATAGAGTACAGAGGACTTAACGCCGTTACCAACTTTGACCTTAGCCGTTACATCAAGTGGCTAAGACCTAACCAAAACACTACTACCGACCCTAACAACTCTAAACCAAACCCTAACCCCAATGTTGACATTAATCCCATAACAAATCCTAGTAATGTAGTGGGATTAACCTTCCTTCACCACCACCAACAAAGCCCTAGCTCTGCCACAGAAGCAACCCTACTTCCACCATGCCCCTCTAGTGGAGCCACTGCCTCATCCGCGCTAGGGCTTCTATTACAATCATCAAAATTTAAGGAGATGTTAGAGAGGACATCAGTTGCTGACTGTCTATCGACGCCTCCAGAGTCCGACCCTCCACGAAGTAGCTTCCCTGACGATATACAGACTTATTTTGATTGTCAGAACTCTGGTAGCTTTGTCGAGGAGGACGACATTATTTTCGGTGACTTAAATTCTTTTTCATCGTCCATGTTCCAGTGTGAGATTGATGCATAATTATTTGTGTGAATATGAGGGTGAAGGAAGGTGACGACAACGACAACGACACGAAAATATATTTGAGCTTTTTTTAGTAATCTTTTTTACAACGTATGATTCTCTTCCTCTTCTGAAGATGAGAGAAGTTTTTTTTTTTTTTTAATTATATTATTGGTTCATTTTTATTTATTTATTACTGGTACTATTGGTAAATTGCATGTAGATATAGATGAAGATAGAAATTCATTTCAACTATCTTTCAAATAAGAAAATTGTTTGAGCATGTAACAGCCTCACTTCTATTTGTTCTTTCAATAAAAGTTTATTTCTATTTGTTATAGTCTACAAAGCCCACTTCATGTGTTTTTTTAATTTATTTATTAATTTTTTATATCCTAATGCAATTGATTTTATTACTTTTGTCAAATGTGATCTACGCTTGAAGCAATTATATATGAGGATATATGCAGTATGCATCCGTGTACATCATGCATTAAATTTGTTATTCTTTTTAGGATAAATTACAAATATATCTCTTCAAATTTGTTTAAAATATAAATTTCATCTTTTGAATTGAAAAATTATAAATATTCCATTGTTTTAATTTTTTATTTAACAAAATTAACTTAATTTTTTTTAATTATTCTTCTATATAATGATAAAATTACGTGAATTATTAACTGAAATATTTTTCTGACATCTTTAAAAACAGTTGATTGACTTGATGATATATTAATAAAAAGAGTTATTTATTATGAAATTAGAAATTTCAAAAGGTGGGATATAATTTCAAAAATCACAGAGAACAAATCGTATTTTAAACAAATTTTAGATAGTGTATTTGTAATTTATCTTTTTTTAAAAATAATTTAGTGATTTTTTTTTTAATGATTGTCAAGTTTAAATAGACATAAAAAGTTTTTTTTTTTTTTAAAAAGGACTAAAAATTTTAAAAAATAAAATAAGTTGAAAAATACACTACAAAAAATTAAAGTGTTAGAAACCAAAATTTAGGGACAAAATTTATTTTTTAGGGACCAAATTTTTTTGTAGTGAAAAGTTTCGTTATTATATTTTTAGCAACGAAAATTAGACATTAGTGATGAATTATTATCCTTTTGGGACCGAATTTTTTGTCTCAAAAAATAAACTATTTTGAGACCAAATTATTTTGTTCCTAAAAGTCTATTTATTAGTGACATTTTTAAAATTTTGTCACTAAAAGCTTTGTTTTTAATTTTTCAGGACATTATTTTAGCGACTATCTTCATGACGATAGAAGTTGGTTCCTAAATGTCTTTTGTAACAAAATTTTCACTTTTAAAGGCCAAAACATTTGATTTCTAAACTTATAAACTATAATCAAAAGAATAGTAATTGACTTGTTAATTTGTACTTGAGACTTAAGATAAGGTTATGAGGTGTAAACCCTATTGAATGGTTAAATTTATTTTTGTTTCAATTGTTCTTTCTTTATTTTTATACAACTTTTCAAGCTAAGTGTGAAAGAGACAAGGAAATAAAATTTTCTAAAGTAGTTAAAAGGGAATAGTTAAGGGTGGGACTGTAAATTGGGAGAGAGAGAGTAAATTGTAACCACTACCAAACCCAATAACGTTACTTTCAAATTTCAATACTGTCATCTTATTTATTTATTTATTTATTTTTTCTCTTTCTATTTTGTTTTAAATAATTCACTGTCATAATTGATTAAAACAAAAAAATGAATTGAAGAAACAAAGCTAACATCAACCCCTCTCTTTCTCTCACATACTTTATTTTTTAAGTCCGTGTAAGTATTCATAGAGAGTAACTTTTATATTATCCATGATGACATGAGATGCAATCCTAGGAGGTAATTGGCTCACAGCACGTACAATGGAACTATAGATGGTGAACTCAAATTCGATTCATGAAATACTTTCATCCACATAACTGTAGTGCTTAGGTTCATTTGTATTGGTTTAATTGAAAAAAAAATGAGGAATAAGGCTTATTTGAGATGATAATAGGACCGTCACAATTTGGGGTTAGTAGACTTATGTAGCACTAGCTCGCCATGTCTACCTAGCCCGCCAAGGCACGTGTTGGAGATTGACATCCTGTGATTTATGGTTGGATGCATCAATAGAAGATGGAATATTTAAAATTATTGGCTAACTCATCATATTAATTATTATACCATGATTTATGAAATTTGAAAGGCATGATAAACTTTCTACCTCCTACTTTTTCTACTAACCATTCTCCCATTAGTTATCCTGTCTAATTCCAAACTTTTACAATTTTAACACAGTTGTCTTAACCCTAAAATATTACAATTCTGCTATAATTGTAATCTATTCATTATTATATCTTACTTCATATAGACACGACAATATCATGGCAAGAGGAAAACAATACTTTGAAAAATAAAACTATGAGAGGTGATTTTTACTGAAACTATCTTCTTTTATTTTAGGCTAGCTCTTAATATAACTTTATACTTATTTCGTCTCACTCCATTATGAATCATGTGATATTATTTTTAGCAATGACAATGCGTTGTTTGGCAACTTGGCTGAAAGCCACTTTTTGGCTTTAACCTATTTTGGGTCACATCACTTCTGTAAGAAATAAATTGAGATGTATATTATTGATTGATGTCATACAAGATTATTGTATATTTTGTATATTACAAGAATGTATTATATAGGAGAGGTTTTGGGAGAGGAGGTGAGGAGTGAGTGGTGGAGGTAGGTTTGGTGGAGTGTAGTAGGTGATAGGAGTGAGTGGTGGAGGTAGGTTTTGGTGGAGTGTAGTAGGTGATAGGAGTGAGTGGTGGAGGTAGGTTTGGTGGAGTGTGTAGTAGTAATTTACATTTACATTAACAGCCCCCCTCAAACTCAAGGAGGATAGGTACTAGCCAACAAAAAAAAAAAAAAAAAAAACACCAAAAAGCCAGCTTTTAAACTTACTTCCCAAAAAAGTTGCTAGAAAATCAATCTGTGAGCTGTGAATGAATGTATATGTAGTTAAGTGTTCAACTTTTAATTTTTTTTCATTTATTTGTTTTGGTTTTCGATTCAATTTTTATTTTTATTTTTTATATATATTTTTGTTTTACTGTATGGATTGTATGAATTGTAATATGAGATAGTTTGTGCTTAAGTTGACTTCATAAGTTAGCATAAAAAAGATAAAAACAATTAGCGAAGAGGGATCAAAATGATTGTCAAGGGTTAAGTCAAATTAAAGTAATGGAAGTAACAAAATGAGTAAAAAATGACAACTTAAAAAAAAAGGTCGAATGTGATTAGAAATATCAAAGTATGCACGTTGACGTTATGAAAGTTGATTGGAGTTGGGTTAAGAAAGGGGGCACACCTTTTGTTTTGTTTTGTTTTTGTTTTAATTTCATTCTCTAATTTTTATTTTTATTTTTTTATATAACAATTTTCGTTAGGTTTAAAAAAATTAAACAAAAAGTAACTAATAATTGGTATCAAATGAACTTTGATATAAAGCAAATTATAATTAAGAAATTTCAAGGACAAAATATATTTAAAATTATAATTTATCTTATTAGTTTCCTTAAATTTTTATCAATTGTCTTATAACATATGTTTTTGTTATTTAATACATAGAACAAATTCTTAATGACATGAAACTAAAAAACAAAAGAGCTTAGATATATGAAGAAAACAATTCAAATTTCTTTAATTCTAAATTGTTTTTCATGTATATTTTTAAATTATTTTTTATCAATATTTATTTTCAAATTTAAATTTTCATTATTTTGTAAGACTGTGCGTAGCACAGTATTATACTAGTATATATATATAATCATAATAATGCTTTGAGATTATAAAACATATTTCTATGCAATTTTTCTTGCTCAGAGTGAATTTACAATCAAGCGTGTGACTTGGTCACATCAATTAACATCCACGAGTAGTAATGTTGAGTTGCGTCTATTGCCCCGGTGAGTGGCATTCCGAGACTATTTCATCTCTTAATCAAAATATAATTTGAAGTTACCATTTTAACTTTCTTTCCCATTTTTTTTCCTCATCAACTTGTCTCTTTCTGCAATAAGAACTTGGTGTTTTTTAAAAAGTAAAAACAAAAAACAGAAAACAAAAAACAAAAAACAAAAAACAAAAAACAAAAAAATTTCACCCTTAGAAATGAATTTTTATATTTGAAAGTAGTCCTCTTATGAAAGCACCACCCACCATAACAATAGGTAAACTACCAAAGTTTGTTTGTAGGATTCTTCTCAACTTTGTCATGTGGGGTTACCTTCCATATAAACTCATGCAAGTGGAGTTGTTTTTATTGGGTAAATAATGCAGGAGTTGTTGGGATTTAAAACTCCACTCCCAATTTCATTGACATTTTTATATGCCTCTCTCTCTCTCTCTCTCATGACAAAACCAACCATAAAAGTCCCCCCTATGAGATCATGCTACAAGATGTGGATGTCAATTACAACCACAAGTTGCTGAGACAGGTCACCAAATTAATTTTGTTAATTCCCTAATTAAAGCATTAACTGAATCACCAAATGAAGCTTTTTAACTTTTTAATTTTAATTTTGTTAATTTCCTACGAATTAAAGTATTAACTGAAACACCAAATGAAGTTTTTTGACTTTTTAATTCAAGTAGGGGTTTTGACTCAAGATGAAATCATAGACTAGTTGGATGCTAGGAAAAATTATTGTATGCTCTAAGGCTATTGGGGGATGTCTGAAAGAGTACTAAATAATTTCTTAAGAAAACACACACCTAATAGGGCCAAGGGGTCTCAGGCAGGGGGATCATCTTTCTCCTTTTCCTGTTCAATGTAGCTGTTGAGGGACTCAACGTCTTGCTTAATAGGGCCAAGTGTCTCAATCTAATTCAAGGAGTGAATATTGAATCCTTGAATCTCAATATCTCTCATCTTCAGTTTGCACATGATACCCTTATTTTCTACAATCCTGAATGGAGTGAGATCATCAATCTCTACAGATTACTTCGATGTTTTGAGCTTGTCTCAGGCCTAAAGATCAATTTCCAAAAATCAACATTTTGCAGGGTTAGCGTTAATAATGATCTTACATCATAGGCTGCCATCTTCTTCAAATGTAAGGTGGGAACGATTCCAATTAATTAACTTGGGCTACCACTTAACGCCAATCCTAGGAGGGTAAAACTCTAGGATCCCGTCAATGATAACATAAAGAAAAGAATCTCTTACGTTGTGTTTGGTAGGAAGATTTGAAGAGGGATTTGGAAAGGAAAAGGGAAAAGTTAGGTAAAATATGAATAAAATATGCTTACATTTCACCTAATTTCACACACCTT